CAGGGTGGTGACGTTTCACACACACCTGGTGGCTGGGTGTTAGACACACAGTCCCCTCCGCCCACCCAGGGATTAGCTTTAACTACACTGAATCACACTGTGGCGGTGGCTATGAGCCACACCTTGGGTCTTCCTAGTAAGTCCCGGAAACTGAGGACCATATTGGGGACCCCCAAATGTACACAGCTCCTGGTCTGCAGAGGTAAGTAACATCTCCAGCTCCTCTCCTGTGAGATCTTCTCTTGCAATGAACAGACTCTTGTCCATAGAGGGCACCTCTAAATCACTGCTGGCCCTGAAACGCAATAGGAGTTTATCTCAAGGACCGTTCAGGAAGATAATTGGAAAACAGAGTGTGCCAGAGAAATGTATAAACACACTTCAGAAAAAGAAAAACTTGTAAAAATACACACACCACATCTTGGCTGCTGGTAAACTGACTGCTTTGTCCACAGGCATGGCAGGACTTTCATGAGGTCTCAATAAATGCAGTACTAAAATATTTTGTACCATTTCTTCTTCCCCTGAAGTGTCTTGTAGACATTTTTTGGTGGACTCTCTACGAGGACCCCATTGTGTCACCGTCTTCACGGTAGCTGGCTGGAGCCTGAGGGTTTTGAGTCCTGGGCCAGGAGAATGGGGTGGGACCCAGGGCCGGCCGGGGCTGGACCTCCCAGACGGGTGCAGAGCAAGGACCTTGAGAGGGATCCGGGCAATGCCAGGTGGCAAACAGAGGGGACTGAAGGCTGTGGGTGAAGCTGCCAGTCGGCTGGCATGGAGGCAGGGAGGAGTCCTGGGCCAGCCAGGCGGGCTCAGTATAGCCCCAGGGATTAGGGGAGAGGGCAGTGGGAGGCAGGGCAGAGCAGATGATGTGGGACTCTGCTGGCCACCGCAGGCTTTGGTGATGGGAGGAGAGGCCCCGAGCCCGGGACCCCTGTCAGACAGGAGTGGAGAAGTCGAGGGCTCCGGAGACCCTCAGGACCTGCAGAGCCACGAGCAGACGGACGTCCATGGTGTGTTCCAAGCCTCGGTCTCTGCTGCTCGGTTAGTGCACGTGGAGATTCGCAGAGTTTTAGGAAAGAGGCTGAGAATGACGGAGAGCCAGTCAGTGTCCCGTGGACAGCGGACAGGAGACTCATGAAGACGCTGTGCTCAGGGCGGGTGGTAACGCTGCTGGGTGACCCGGGCGGGGCTTAGGGGAGCAGGAGAGGGGGCCGCATCCCAGGAGCTGAAGGTTTGGTGCTCTCTGGGTCTAGGAACTGTGACAGTGCCATATCTGGGGACCTGAAAGGAGGTGACTGGAGGGCTATCTGGAGGGGGCTCCCCGGAGCTCCTGCTGGGAAGCATTTCCTCCACGTGGTGCTGTGAGCCACGACTCCCTACCACCACGCCCTGAGGACCCTTGGCTGCGGGAGGCTGTCCAGCAGGACCCCATGCTGGCCTCTCCTTCTCAGTTGCCGGCGTGAGGCCAGGCTGTTCCCTGCATGGTGGCTCACACGTCGTCGCCACCACCCAAAGTGCCCTGAGGGCTTCCAGGCTGCGCTCAGCCCATCAGCAAGGGACCTTGGCGGCCTCAGGCCTGCGGGAACTTAAGCGCTTAGGGACCTGGCACAGAGCTGCCTGGAGCACTGACGGAGGCCGAGAAGCCCGAGGAAAGTCTCCAGCTCTGTCCTCTGTCCTTCTCCAGGGGCACAGGTGCCCAGCCCCCAGAACTCCTCCACTGCCAGGCCACATTTGTAGCCTCACGGCCCAGGCTCCGATGGCATTGGAGGACTGAGTACTTGAAGTCTCTCCTGCAAGCCCTGGGCCTGTGCTGCGTGCCAGGCACTGTGTGGGCAGTGACAGCGGGGTGGGTGACTTCACCCTCTTTTCCTACCTACAGGATGGGCAGTGTGTCTCCAAGGCTAGGGACAGCAGTTGGGGAGCAGGAAGGCTTTCAGCCACTCTATGGGGACAGGACGAGAGCCAGAGGTTCCGTGCTGCCCGCTGCCCAGGAGAGGCACTTTCTCTGGTCCCTGGAATGCTGCCTCCATCAGCCAAGTGGCTTCCATAGTGGGCATCCACTGTCTCAAAGTTCTGGGGGCTCAGGTCAGAGGTCAGGGGCCAGTGCTCTGTTCTGGTGACAATTCACCTGCTGGCTTGCAGTTGGCCACCCTCTCACTGGAGACAACAGAAGCTGGGCACAGTAGCACTCCCAATCCCGGCGCTCAGGAGGCTGAGGCAGGAGGATCTTGAGTTGGAGGCCAATCTGGGCTACATGAGTTGGAGGCCAATTGAGCTAACTAGTGAGACCCCATTTGACGGAGGGGCACACTAGCTCTTGGTGCCCCTTAGGACACTGAACCCTCATTTAGCCCCGGTCACCGCTCAAGATGCCCTCAGGTAGGGCACAGGGACACACTGTTGGAGGTGCAGAGTCTCTGAGGGATTTGATTTGCGCAGAGGCCAGCAGTCGGAGGCACTGTTTCTCTGTCATCCGTCTACTGGCTCCACTGCCAGTGAAGAAGCTGGGCAGAGCAGAAAGATAAGGACTCGGGCCCAAAGTTCAGCAGAAGCAGCGGGACAGCTGGGGGAGGGCAGATGGGGAGATCAGGACGCCCAGGCTGAAGGGGAGAGGAGAGCAGGGGGCGAGGCCCCTCTGCAGCTGCGGCGGGCTCCTGCGGTGTTAGGGGCGGGGAGGTGACAGTCACAGGGCAGGTTATTACTGTTGCAGTGAGGAGCCAGTAGGTGGGGTCTAGACACTGTGTCCACTTTTCTGGTCGCCTTTTCTGGAGGCACTTTTCTGGTGCCTCACACACACCACACACACCACATGCTCTCCCTGCGTCCCTGCCGGTCCCGGGGGGCAGGAACAATTATGCATGGCCATATAAATTGTCCTTCCTGTGGGCCCCAAAGAGCTGACTGCTGGCAATGTCACGAGTCCAAACTCATATTACCAACGCAGCTGCACAGCGGAGAAGGTGGTGGCTCCAGGTCACTGTTCTTTGCTCAGCGCCGTGTGTTTTGTGAGCCAGGGAGCTGGGATGTGGACAGAGCCTCGCTCAGAACCTGTCCTAGCTTGACGGGCTGTGCCGTGGAAAGCCGTGACGCTGGGGAATGTGGCTTAGGTGCCAGGAAGAGGCTCGGGTGACAGCCCCAGGGAGCCAAAGAAGACAGAAAGATACACCGGGAGCCGCTGGTGGATGACATGGGACCTGACAAGGAGGCAGGATGATCAGTGGGCTGCTGCAGAGATCAGGACGAAACCTGCTGGACTGCGAGGCAGGCAGGAGCAAGCCGAGAGGCATCGTATTCAGTTTTCTGGGTGCCCTGCGCAGCACACAGTACTTACTTAACTAAATGCCCAGTAAATAAGAACAGGCTTAGTTGGGTATAGTAGCGTGTGTCTGTAATTCCAGCTTTCTGGGAGGCTGAGGCAGCAGGATCCACAACCAGTGTGACAATTTAGCAACCATCTCAATAACAAAAAGAGTAAAATGGGCTGGGGATGCAGCTCAGTGCAGACCGCGTTATTCAGTCCCCAGTTCCACCACCATCACACACTCACACTCGGTGGAAATAAGCAGAGCCGGTGGAAACTGTCCCTAGGCAGCAGGATCACCTCTTTGGGGTCGGTTGTCATGCGGCTGGCTCTGCGAGGGCCTCCTGCAGTGTCTAGGGTGACACCTGCTGCCCATACAGAGCGCAGACTTCCTACCGCCGGTCTTTTCTGTTCTTGTCTTTCCGTCCCTTTTGGTCCGTGCCAGCGTTTGAACCCAGCGCCTCGTACGGGCAATAGCTCTGCCACATTGCCGCGCCCCCAGCTCCTGCCCCCTTGGGCTAAGCAAGCCCCACGTGGAAACCTGAGCCAGCGGCCTTGTGCTGCCCGCCTGTGTCGGTGAGACGATCCGTGCGGGTTTCAGGCGTGCGTGGGTAGAGATGAGCGCCAGCACACACCAGAGGCCACCGAGGCCCCGGGAGCTCCCCCCAGGGGACACTCTCCCACCATCCGGGCGCTCTCGGAGCATGTGCGCGCTAAAACGCGTTTTCACTTGGGTTATTTGGCCGCGGGAACTTGTTTACTCTGCGATTGCTCCTGACTTCCTGGCAATCACGGCCTCAGGAAATTCACTCGGAGAGATTTCCAATTTACAAGCGGTTTTCAAGTGTAACGAAACGTCTGTCAACCTAAGAATTACAACCGTGAGGTCGGCAAGTCGGCTTGCTACGTTTTGAGACCTTGATTTGAGCATTTATTTGCAAATTTCCGTGATTCTCCCTTCCCTCCCCTCCCTTTCCCCGGTCTTTCTCTCCCTCTTCCTCCCCCCTTTGTCCCCCTCTCTCTCCACTGTTGTAAAACCATAAACTTTTCTTTCGCGGTCTCCCCAGGTCCCTGAAAGGCTGGGTGAGTCAGGTAGCTGTACCCCGGTGCGGGCGCTGGCGTGTGCGTGGCCAGCCGTCGAGAAGTCAATCACGGCCTTCATTGAGGGGGAGTGGGGGAAGGGCCGAAGGCGCCCCCCTGCGTGCGCGCTGCAGCGCGGCCAGGTCGGTGCAGAGCCCCGGTGCACGCTCCGCGCCACCCCGAGCCGCCCGCTCTCTCCGGCCTTCCCCACGCGACCCGGCGGGCAGGTGACTGTGGCCTCGCGTCACGTGTCCGCGTGCGCCTCGCCTCGGGCCCGGGTGCGGCGTGGGGTCTCTGCGGGGACCTCCGCCTCGGCCGGGCGCACCCCCGCAGCCCCCCGGGAATTCCTGCGGGAAGCCCCCGCCCGCGCCGCCCCTGAACCCCGGCAAGGTCAGGGGCTCGGCTGCTCGGAAGGGGCCCGGGACCCTCGCGCCCGCCGCCCGCCGCGCCCCGCGTGGCACAGTGATTTCTCGGAAAGCCGAGCGCTTCGAAGAAGGCGGGCAGAGTAGGCCGCGCCGATTGGGCGGTGCCCGCTCTCTTCTCGCACACCATTGGTCGCTGTGGCGGTCACTCCCCGCGCCTGCCCCGCCCACCCCGCCCCGCCCTTAAAGGAGCGCTGGCGCTTGTGCCCCAGCCCGTGGCGCACTCGGGGAGCGGCGGGAGCGCGGCGGGCAGGTAGGAGTGCGCGGGGACGCGGCGGGGGATCCCGCGGCCACGAGCGCCTCTGGGAGCCCGGGTCTAAACCTCTGTCCCTGTCGCCTGCGCCCCACACGGGGTGCGCTGTGAAACTCAGTTTTTCTTAAGATTTGGTTTACAGGGAAGCTTGTTAGTAATGGGGGACATAGCGAGCCCCGAAATCGAGCAGCGGGAGGACCGACGAGCCCGGCCAGCAGCGCGCTCGGGCGGGCCTGTGCGGATGGCGACGCGGGTAGAGGTTCCCGAGTGGGGTCGTGGCGCCCTGGCTCCCGTGTGTCCCTTTCCTCTGGGAAAGGAGGTTGTTGCCGACCAGGGTCACAGAAAGTTCTGGGGTCGGGGGAGCCCAGGGGCCAGGCGTGGGGGCTCCTATCTATAATGCCAAAACTGGTAGCCTGAGGTAGGAGGGTGGCAAGTTCGAGCCCAGCCTGGGCAACCTAGTGACAGTGAGACACTGCCTCAAAATAAAAATTAAAAAAGTTCTAGAGATGTAGTTCAGTAGCGGGTTCAATGACCACTACCTAGGAAAGAGACAGAGAGAGAGAGAGAGAGAGAGAGAGAGAGAGAGGATCCCACGGCCCCGGATGACTGTCCAGGTGAGGTCTGCTGGTGTCCAGAGCTTTAGAGGTGGACACTGCAGACTGAAGGTTCTGGAATTCTAAATTGCCCCCCAATCTACAGCCCCCCACTGCTTTTGAAACTAAAGGTAAGAGCTAGTGGTTAAAGCAGTTTCCCCTTTTGGGCTGTAGCAGGTAGCTCCCCCAGAAAGTTTGGGAGTGATTCTGTCACTTGAGGCCAGGGCAGACCATCAACGGGAGCGGGGTGGGGGTGGGGTTCCAGCACCGGCTCAGCCAGGTCCAGTCTCAGTCCTTTGGAGTGGTCCGGGCAGGGACCCAGCACGCACATGTGGGATGCAGATTAGCTCCACATACCACTCGGTTGGCGGAGGGGATTCTTACCTCAAAATCGAGGAAGAGGAAGTTATAAGCATGTGACCGGCCTATTATTTTTTCCTGGCTGAGTGTTTGGTGGGGTTACTTTCTTAGTGTTCAATAAATCAGGCCGAGTCGCAGCGGTGAGGGGCGCAGGCGGTGATGCTGCCGTGTGGAATCGCGGAGGTGACTGCGGCAGATTCAGGGCTGTCCACATGCGAGACGGCCTGACTTGGCGGTGGCCTCTCCTGGAGGGTGGGGAAAATGAGCCGCTGTGGCCTGGATGACTGTCCGTCCGACTGGCCTGCTGGGCTCCCTGGTGGCTGCTCTGCCTTCCTAAGCCTGCTTTTCTTCCTGGCAAAGAGGGCCAGATCAGAGGGTTCTAAAGTACTTTCCAGCCTTCCTGTTCTTTAGAGAACGTGAATCACCAAGTTGGCCACCCTTACCAATTTTGGGGGGACAGACTTCTCGGGAATCCTGAAGAGCAAGTGTTCGCCCCTTGGGGGAAAAGGCCCATGCCAGCTGGGTTGCTTCTTCCTCAGGGGCTCCCTTCCCGGACACACCCCCAGAGCCCAGCCCACCACCTCCCATAGCCAGGCCCAGGCTGGGGGTCTCCTCCCTCCTCCCCAGGAGCGCCCCAGCTTGGTTGTTTTGGGCTAGGTACCGCTTCCTTCTTTCCTAGGTCCAGCCTTCGAATGGGTCCCTTCTTATTTATGAACTCAGGTTCTGGACTTCTGGAAATATCCCTCACTTACTGAATGCGGCCTCTCAGAGAGAGGGGTTGTCAAAAGAGATCTAGCTGGGGGAGAGCTTTGCTGGGGCAGGAAGTTTCCAGTCAAACTCCAATTTGTGTTTCACACCTTTACCCCTGCTGAGCTCACAGGGGCCAGCAGGGTCACTGGGTGGAAAAGCTGAACCCGCTCTGCTCTTGAGGTCTCACCTCCCCTCCCTCACCTGACCCTTCCCTGCCCCCACGGCCACCTGCAGGGGCTGGAGTTTCCCAGATGCACTTCTTGCAAAGGTTGCTGACTTGTTTGGCCCGAGGACCAGCATGGCTCTGGTGGTGATCATATTCTTGGGGACGTGATGTCTTGTCACTGCTGATGGCTTCAAACTTGTTTGCCCAGAGTGATCACATTTCATTGGAAGGATAAAAACGCTGTTTCTTTGGTTTCTTTTTGGGTGGGCGTCTGTCCAATCGCCTGGGGGATTTCCAGCCCTGTTCTTGTAAGTGTTGGCCCTGCGTTGTGACTGCGTGCTCCTGGGAAAGCCAACTGCTGAGCCCCTGGAAGGGTCGAGCTGCCAACCTGGCTGTTCTGTAGCTGCGGCTCCTCCTCCCCTTCACCCACGGCCCCTCGTGGAAGAGGGTAACACCTCTGTCCGAACGACTGTTCCAAGGCACCGGCCTTGGCGCAGGTGCTGCCACCCTGCACTGAGACTCCTGGACTCTCACCACCAGGTGTGACAGTTCTCCCCCACACTCCAGCGTGAAATGACACGGCAGGGTCACCTGGGTGGAACGGGATCCTGGCTCTGTCTCACCCCAAAGCTCCTTCACCCGCTGTGCAGTGACCATCTGGAGGGCGGCTTCATCTTTCTGGAGGTGTCTGTCCACTGGGCGTCGGGTCATCCAGTGCATCTGAGTGTGCAGATTCCTGCAGCTCGCGCTGAGAATGTTGCTGTCCGACGTGGCTGTGTCTGTCTGAGAGGGAAATCGGGGGAGCGGGCAGGGCAGATGGAACTGAAGGTGGGGCTCACATGGGCCAGCGGGCTGGCTGGCAGGTTTCATTCAGGGCAGGGTCACAGAGGCCAGCATTGTCTCCGACTGGCAGGTGGCCCAGAGTCCCTGGACCTGGGGCTTCCCCTACGCCAGCACCTCTGCTTGTGAGCCTCCAAGTTTCCTGTTCTCTGCGCTCTTGGGTGGCTCTGAGTCATAGGCAGCGTTTATTACACGGCAAGATTTGATTCTCCTTCCCAGGATGTGTGACCGGAATGGCGGACGGCGGCTCCGGCAGTGGCTGATCGAGCAGATCGACAGCAGCATGTACCCGGGGCTGATTTGGGAAACCGAGGAGAAGAGCATGTTCCGGATCCCCTGGAAGCACGCCGGCAAGCAGGACTACAACCAGGAGGTGGACGCCTCCATCTTCAAGGTCAGCCCGGGTCCCCGCACACAGAGCGGCCGCCCTTCTCCTTGGCGGCTGTGCCCCATGGCTCTGCCTGGCCTTGCAGACACAGCTCCGAGGGACGTGTCCAGTCCGTCATCACTGCTCCTGAGCTGGGGCTGGGCTGTCCTGCATCGGGGCCAGTGTCTCAGTGTGGTCTCCTCTCTTGGCGCCATGCGTGGGGCCTGGCCCGCTCGTTGCCCTCTGATGTCGAGATGGGCAGCCTTGGCTGAGGGTGTGTTCTGAGCTGGGCCCGGCCTCCATGGTCCCAGCCTTTGCACACTTAGTTTCAGACAGGGAACTGGGTCACGGGAGTCACCTGTGGGCACCTCAGGGGCTCTAGACGTCCAGAGAGATTTGGAGCCTTTGGTCAAAGTCAGCTCAAACTTCTGCAGACAGAGGCCCTGCCTCGAAACCACCTTTGTTTTTGCATTCCGTGCATGTGGGGCAGGGGAAGGCAGAGGGGTGAGAGCTCCGGAGGGGGCTGAGTCACAGGGGGCCAGAGACAGATGCTGGACATGCACCAGTTGGGGAGCAAAGCCAGCTGGGCTCCGCTGATCCCTAGGCCTGAGCTGCAGTGACTGGCTTCTGACACAGAGGACAGCAAGGGCAGAGTGGAGCACGGCTGGTCAGGCGTGGCTTCGGCCCGTGTCTCTCCTCAGGTCTCACGGTGCTGTGGTGACAGTGACAGCTGTGTTCTGGGCTTGTTTCTGAGAACTGGTGCAGGTTGCTGATGGCTCCAAGGAAAACAGGCACATGGAACACTGTACTCACTCACGGGACCCCTGCTGCCCGTGTGTCCCCCGATTCCTCCCATTTGAGGGCTGGGTTCAGAAAGCCCGGGCACCCCAAGGTTTGCAGCCCCAGCCCCTCCTCTTCGCTTCTCAGTGCCAGTGTGGATTTTGCTTGCATTTGCTCTCAGGTGGTTTTTGCCTTTGGCATTATGGGAATGCCCTCTTTAGAATGGTCCTGCTCATGGTACACAGTGCCCAAGTGCCACCAGTCATCCGGGCACTCTAGGTTTTGGGTGGCTGCAGCCCAGGGTTCCGGGCCACAGCAGTTAGCTGAGAAGATACTTTATCATTCTGAGGGCTTTGTAGAATGTTTCCCAGCATTCCTGGTCTCCTCCCACCAGATTCCAGAGGCGTCCCCTTCCCCCGATGACCAGAAATGTGTCCAGCATTGCCAGATGTCCCCTGGCAGCACCATCTTGCCCTTCCCGTGAAATCCCTGTCCCGAGCTGACCGTGGCTGGGATCAGCACTTAAGCGGTGGTGTTGGGTGCTGGGGCTCCGATGCAGGGTTGCCTCCAGGGGTGGGGACAGCGCCTGCAGGCTGCAGAGGCAGCCTTTCCCACCCACCTGTTCCCTGCTTCAGCGGGGGTTCTGGGTAGTGAGCTAAAGCCCCAGATTTATACATCTTATGCAATGCTCGTCATGGCCGTTTCAACAGCGTTGAGAAAAATGTGCAGGATTCCCAATGTTTCCGTTGGTTACGCAGTCGCCGATGTGGCAATCTGAAATGAGTGTACAATCTCAGCAGGAATGGGGACAGGCAGGGGACACGGTGCCCACCCGGGGTGGGAGTCCAGTGGGCCGCCGATGGTTGCTGCAGGGTGACGTGCTGTCACAGCACCGCCTCGTGCTTGCCCGAGCTGGGTCACGCGGAGGTGCCTGCTGGGGTGTCTTGGGGAGGAACCGCCCTGCGATGCCTGTGGAGCCTGGCTGCTGCTGGGAGCAATCAATGGGGAGACAGATGCCACGGTTGGGTGAGGCCGTCATAGGTGCTGCCAGGTGAGGCGGGGACACTGTTTTCTCGGATGTGCAAAGAAAGGCTTTCCGAAATTTGAGAGTACAAAAAAAAAAAAAAAAAAAAAAAAAAAAAAATCCACGGGTTTGCTCTCCTGCCTCGGTCAGTGGTGGTGAGAACACCAGAGGCTCCGTGCTTGTTGGCAGCGTCCTGCAGCCTGGACAGTGAGAGAGACCCTCGCTCTGCTCCCGTTGTCCTAACCCCGAGCACGGGCACAGCGAGGAGGCCTGGATGCCAGCTTGTGGTTGGTTTTAAAAGAGCTTTCTGCCTGTTTCTTGATGACGGGTGAGTGGAGCTGGCCAGGCATTCAGTGATGGGCACTGATCCTGATGGACCCGAACAGGAGCCTCAGGCACAGGTGTTCTGGACCCACCAGCCCTGACGGAATCCGGTTTCTAAAATGCGACATGTGACAGGATGCTAAATGAGGGAGTGTACTGGCTGCTGAGTGTTCGGGGCTGACAGCGAAAGGGACCCGCCCAGGGGCTCCCATGGGCCTGGCACCATGTGTTTAGATCAGCCAGCCTCACTGAATTTTTAGAGCCAGCCAGAGAGGCCTTGGGGGGCCAGGTGCCAGCTGAGTGGCAAAGCTCAGGGTGTTCTGTGTGCTGGTACCAGCGGGGGCCCCGGGCGTGTCTGGGGCACATTTGGTGGATGGAGCCTCCTGGCCTTCCTCGTGGCGAGGGGGTGGGAAGAAGGAATGGGGGAGCCTGGCAGAGGTGCCAGGGCCGGCACGACCAGCGTGTGACGTTGCTGCAGAGTCCAAGCCTTTGGAGGTCCTGGTGAGAGATGGGCCGACCAGTGGTTCTCAAGGACAGGGCGGGGCCGGACTTCATTCCAGGGACACCTGGCCACGTCTGCAGACACCTCCTGCTGTTCAGGTGGGGCCATGCTGCTGGCATTGGTGGGTCAAGACCACAGATGCTGCCGAGTACGTCACGTCACAGGCCGGCTCCACACACCAGGGAGGCAGGGCCGAGAGACCCTGGAATTACCTGTCCCTTAGTTTACTCTGGGCAGGGTGGTGCATGCTTTTAACTGCCGCACTCGGGAGGCTGAGGCAGGAGGATTGTCACCAGTTTGAGAGCAGCCTGGGCTACATAGTGAATTCCAGGCCAGCATGGACTGCACAGTGAGACCTTGACTCAAAACACAGGGAAAAATAAAAGGTTGTTTGCTCATAAGTCACAGCACCAGGGGGACTTGTGCCTTTGTCAGAGACGGCTGCGTTGACGAATAGGAAGGCTCTTGCAGTTCCGGGTTCCTCTTAGCCTAGACGCAAAATTTGGCACCAGTCGGGTAGAAAGCCTGGGCCTTACACTATAAACATTTGTATCTTTTTTAGCGGAAAAAGATGCCAGTCTGGGTTCCCGGAAATGTAAGTTCAGACCTATTCGGACCCTGTCACAGGTGAATCTTGCGTGGGGCTGCGTGTCACAAGCCCCTGTCACAAGCAGACGCCTTGAGCTCAAGCCACACTGGCAGTTGGGGCAGCTGCGTCCAGCCCAGGGCGGGTCCACCTCGGCTTTCCCGATGGGGAGGGAGGGTTCTCCCCAGATCCCTTGTGAGCTCAGGCTGGAGAAGCCCGAGTTTACCTGAGACTGAAGGTCGCTTTTGCCTGTTAGTGGTCACCTGATTGGCTGCTGGGTTCCAATTCTCGGGCTCTTAAAATATGCTCATTTCCGTGTTTTATTTTAAAAATACTGCCCCATGAATTGTAAACACCGTTGAACCTCTAAGTTTCCTGGTTTGAATTTCTGGTCCCAGTTCAGGTCCTGAGGTTTGGAGAGGTCAGAAAACAGAGCTGTTCAAAGCAGAAAAACCTAAGCGGTAGAGGGAGAGACCAGGCATGGCGTTTTAAGCAGAGCTTTGGATGAGGGTGGGGGAGAAAGCCAGCATCTTGCAAACATGCAAAACAAGACTTCTATTAAAAGGAGCAGGGCAGTTGATGGGCACATTTAGGGTTTTTGCAAATGTTCCCTTTTTATACTGTGTTTTAGAGGGGAGTTGATTTGAAAAAGCAAAAAGCCTTTGTTTTGAACGTTCTAGTGAAATCATGTGCAACTTCCTCTTTGAGCAGCTTAACCTCCAAGCCCTTTGGCCCAGGGAGGGACCACGAAAGGCTCTCAGCAGGGGCGGCGGTGGGAGGGTGCTAGTGACCTGAGACACCCCTGCCTGGCCTGGGTCTCTGCACATCCGGAGAGACGGTGGCCTGAGACTCGGGGAGAAGGGGGGCCTGGTCCCCATGGCGGGGATCTGTGGTCAGCAGCCCTCATGTGTTTAACGTGCTCCCCTTTCCTCCCTCAGGCCTGGGCAGTTTTTAAAGGGAAGTTTAAAGAAGGGGACAAAGCTGAACCAGCCACTTGGAAGACGAGGTTACGCTGTGCCTTGAACAAGAGCCCAGATTTTGAGGAAGTGACAGACCGATCCCAGCTGGACATTTCCGAGCCATACAAAGTTTACAGAATCGTCCCGGAGGAAGAACAAAAATGTAACTATCGGTTGAGGGCACTCAGGCTTCCAGGAGCTGCCAGGTCTGCAGCCTCGCAGAGGGCTCGGGTCTGGGGTGGACGTGGCCACCACAGGGTCTGGGCACACGGCTTTAGTTAAACAAACGGTTCTGTCGTTTGTGTAAGCGGCTGCTGAGGTCTCTGCACTGACCTCACGCACCATCTGCTGTCAAGTGGCAGCTTCCAGCTGAGGGGGCGGCTGGAGGGTAGGGGAGGCCGGAGGGAACTGGGCTGTGGCCCAGGCTGGGGACACGCAAGGGGACAAGCTTAGGACACGCTCCCCTGGCTGGGACCACAGAACCTGCAGCAGCTGCTCAGGGGGCTCCTGGGGTCCTCTGGCACTTGGAGAGGGGGCAAGGGGACAGTCTGATGGACAAGGCAGGGCCGGGTCATAATGCCTAAGACGGCGCCCTGGAGCTGCTTGGAACTTGGGCATGTGACCGTTCCTGAGCGGCTCCCAGCTCTGTAACCCAAAAGCGTTCACGAAGGTATTAAAGTAGGGAAAGCCAAAGGGAAATAAAAAAAAGGAAAAGCAAAAAGCCACAGCTCCCTGCTTCCCACTCCTGGGCTCTGGCCAGGGATGGCCAGTCAGTCGCACGTGTCCGGCTTGGGTCCAGCCTGAGAATTGTTTTCCAAGCAATGGCTGTGTGTCTGCCACGAATCAGAGCTGGCTCAGGAGAGAAAATCCAATCACCACCGCTGGTTTAAAACATTCTATGAACGCATCATCTGGCGATGCGTAATTTTTTAAAAATTAAAATCTCAACTCAGAAATACACAGCGAGCCCGGGGCGGAGCTGGTGAGGGAAGCAGCCCTGCGAAGGTGCTCGCTGTGGGGAGGACGGGAAGACAAACGGGCGATCTGGATGGCAGGACTCTGTTTCGGGGTGTTGTCTGTCTTCCTGATCATCTGTAGCTTCATCACCGGCGGTGAACCCCGACTTCACTGACGCCAACTCAGTGGCCCCCGGGAGAGAGAGTCACATGGCCCGTGCAGTCCAGTTCCAATGGCCAGCTGGCTTGGAAAGGCCAGGCCGTCATTGTCCTGCCTTCCCCCCAGTTTTGGACAATGTTTGGTCACTGTAAAGTCACTTGTGACCTGAAGCTGCAGGGCTGTTTCTCTGGCCCCCTCCAGGGCGGCCAAGCCTGACCTGATAGGCTGCTCGAGCCTGTTTATGCCCAGGGATGGGGCCGTGTCACCTGTGGTGGCTGCTGAAGGACAGGCTCTCAGGGATGAGCCACAGTGCATTTGCATAGTGTACCGCCAGCCCAAGCTGCTGCTGTACTCGAGCGGCTTTGGACTGCACCAGGACTGCCCCGCCCCACTCTGCTCAGCAGCAGCCGCAGCCTCTGAGCAAATGCGGGACGGAATCAGAATTTAGTCCGGAGGAAAGGATGGGAAGAGGCCGTGGATCCCCGGGAGAGGGAAGGCCAGCGGGGTTTGAGGGTCGAGATGCGTATCACAGCGCCAGACCTGGCAGGTGAATTTCTAACCAGGGCAGAGCAAGGCCAGCTGGGGATGCTCACTCTGGAAATCCTGGAAGCCCCTGGGCAGGTGCCGATCCGGACTGGTGGGGTTAGCCATCGGCGTGAGGGCCGTGTGTGCACACAGAGACATGCGTATATTTGGAAAGGCCAAAAAGAGGTTTCCTGCCAACTGGCTTTAAAAAACAGTGACTCAACCAGCCAACACATTTGCCAGGAAATCTCTGGGGTTTTCAGAGGCCCCCGCCTGTAAACTAGCTTTGTAGAGTAGGTAGTGACACCTGGCATGACGTCTGCTTGATAGGGTTCACTTTGCATTTCGGTGAAGACACGGAAGAGGCCAGAGCTGTCTGCGTCCCTAAAAGGCTGCCTTTACAGCCCCACTGCCGACTTCTCCCTTTCGCCCTTGCTGGTCGGATGACGCAGCCTGGGAGGAGAGGGTCTGTGCATTTCCAGGCCTTGGGCCGCTGCTGAAAACGGCCACCCGCTGGCCCCAGGGATGGCCGTGTGGCTCTGTGCGGAGGGTGACAGGGCTTGTCTGCCTTCCCTAGGCAAACTGGGCATTGCGCCTGCCGGCTGCGTGAGTGAGGTGGTGGAGATGGAGTGTGGCCGAGCCGAGGTGGACGACATGATCAAGGAGGTGAGTGCAGCTGGCTGTCGCTGGAAGCGACGTTCGCCTGCAGACGGGAGAGCGGGGAGCCCCGGTCACCCTCCCAGCGGCCTCTGCCTGCTGGGCGCATCTGCCCCTTCACTCCAAGCCGCTGCTCTGTGTCAGTGAGCTTCTGTCCAGCACTGCAGCGCCCTGGATGCTGTCTTTTAAGTGAGATCTCACACCCTTCCCGGGCCGGGGGACTGTCAGCCTTCCGCTGCCTGGCTGTCACTGTGCCTCGGGGCTATCAGATTGCTCATGTTTTTAACATACACACTTTATTCCTCAGCGGGTTGGGAGATTGGTTACCCAGGGCTGTGAGAAGTGTGCATGGGGTAATTGTTAATAGTCACCAGCGAAGGCCTCGCAGGCCTGTGTGGGTGAGCACGGGGTTCTCGAAGCTCCTGGAGCTACGTGGACGCTGGCTTTGACCCTGTATGTGTTTTCTGTGGATAGTCCAAGGTGGGCGTCCCCGAAGCCATCGCAAAGGGCGGCACGGGCACTCAAGGAATTCTTACACGGTGCCGATGGCTTCTCTGCAGGTGACAGCTGTTGGGTTTCAGACCAAGCAGCTTCTTGGCCCTGAGTCCCTCCTAAAATGTCCTGCTGTCCCCAGAAGGCTTTTCTGCCAACTGGGCTGTCACTGTCCGTGAGTGTCTCAGCCTCTCCTAGTCAGCCAGCCTCTGGGCAGCTGCATAACCTGAACCGTTTGGCTTGCAACCAGGGAACTTTCTGGTGGCTTTCGAGAGGTGGTCACTTGGCACTCTGACTGCTCCACTAGTGAGTTTATGGCTACGGCTTTTTAATTTGCAAGGGAAGCTTAGTGTTCTCTGCAGACAGAGGTGGCCGTGTGGCTTTAGTTGTGTGGAGGTTGCTGGTAGCTCGGGGCTGAGCGGCTGTCTCCCTCCTGTTGCAGCCTCCTGTGGATGATTATATGGGGATGATCAAGCGGAGCCCGTCCCCGCCGGAGGCCTGCAGAAGCCAGCTCCTCCCAGACTGGTGGGTGCCCCAGCCCGGCAGCACAGGTGAGGACCCTGCGCCCGCTGGAGACGGCATGGGTGACACTGGTTGTCCTGTCCAGGGCACTGAGCTAGAGGGTGAAGTCAGGTGCTGGCTCCCCACCATGGCACGTCTATCCGTCCTGCACTTGTGCAGAGCCAGAGTGCGGGGTCAGGTGACTGTCCCCAGGGCTGGAGGGAGGACTCAGTGTCGGGCCACTTGCACCCCTCCCTGGGTGCTCTGCTCCGTTTGGATATTGGGGTCTCCTTCAGGGAGAATGCTGGCATGTGAAATGCTCAGAGCCGTGCTGGGAGGCTGTGGGTCTTCCTGAACCTCAGTTTACCCCTCTGTAAGGCAGAGGCTCTGGGGCCTGCCCTAGGCATGCACCCTTGGGATTGCTTTGCAGGGCACACTCGGCCCTCAGCTCTCAAGGTGACTGCTGGCCTTCAGCTTCTGCAACACCTGTACACCTCTTGAGTTGTCACCATGACCAGGAGGGGACAGGCAGCCCAGCAGGCCTCAGGGGCCAGGTTGGGTGGCAGTGTCTTGGAGAATGCTGGCTCGGAGCCTGGGAGCCCTGGCTGGTGGCACAGGGTCCTGCAATGTTCCCACCCGTGGGGTGGGAAGAGAATGTGGCCACAGGGGTCACTGGCCTGGGACCGGAAATCCCACAGTGCAGAGGAAGTCCCCTGCCTCTGGTTTGGCTGCGGTCTGGGTCTGCAGGGACAGTGCAAAGTCAGCAGAAGCTGTGGCTGGGCCCTGGAGCTCCCTGGACAGTCTGGGGCCTCTGGTCAGCTGCTGGCACTCAGCACATTGAATTTGCTCTCTGTCCCTGCAGGCTTGCCACTGGTGACCGGGTACCCTGCCTATGATCCGCACCAGGCAGGTATGGAGTGCTCTGGGCAGATGCGGGTGCTGTTTGAAAGCAGACGCCAGGGACCCATGTGGGCCTGAGGTGTGGGGGACTCACCTCCTTCTCCTCACCCTGTGGCCCTGGAGTGAGGCTCTGTCCCCTGTTTCCTGCTGTGTGATGCTCTGCAGGGCCCCTGTGCTGCTGGACAGACCACCTCCTGCACCAGGGTGCCTTCCTTTCCTACCAGGAAAATGGTCCTAATGTTAAGGCTGCCTCCAGGCCGGGGTGCTACCTAGAAGGGCTCAGGAGCCCTTCTCCTGAGGCCCCCATCCCGGTCCCTGTGAATTAAGTCAGTGCTCGCATGGTGCTCACATGGCTCTGCTTTGCTGGGGGAAATGGCGCAGAGCCGGGGCAGCTGCTGCTTGTTTGTGTGGCCGGCCGGAGGCGGCAGGGCTGGGATTCTGAGTCGGGTCAGGCGCTGGCACCCCGTGTGTGCAGTGTGCGCTGCTCACCAGCGCACCTGGGCTCCCTGACACCCGGTGCCGTCTCTGGTGGTGCTGCCTGTTTGCGTGGAGCGGCAGGTGCTGTCGGAGCTGAGGTCCAGCAACGACAGGTCCCGGCCCCCGCAGGACAGTCGCCTGATGTTTCTTTCATTGGGACCAAAGTTCAAAATTCATTCAGGGAAGCGAGGGTCAAGTGTCCATGGGGCACAGACGTGGCATGCTTGGGGGACGGTGGGGAGAGTCACAGCCGAGAGTGCCCCTGTTCTGCCGGGCGACCCTACCTGGGTCTCCGTTTCCCTGGATGTCAGGGGTGCAGCTCTGGAATCTGTGCCCTGTCGGATTCCAATGCCCCCAGTGAACTGCGGAATAGAGTGGGAGCCCGTGGGCAGGGGTGTGGAGTCTTTATGACCTGATGTAAGCAGTGTCCAGTGGGAGGGCCCACGTGCTCTGCTGCATGAGGCAGGTGGTGCAGGCGGCACCCACAGGGCCACCCCCGCCAGTGGTACACTTGGTGTACTGCACAACGCTAGGGGCTCCAGAGAGCTGAGCACCTCACAACCTGAGCAGCTCCAGTGGGGTGCCCCGCAGGGCTCTGCAGCACCCGCAAGGAACCCGGATCCGTCAGCTGATCCTGCTGGGCTGATTCTGAGTTTAGGCTGCTAACATGCAGATTCTCGGATCTGAAAGGAACCCCACTTTGAGGTGTCACTCGCATTCCTGACTCCACTTATGGTCACCCAGACTTCTGTCACTTGAGTCCCACGTTCCCAGGGGGTGTCACAGTCAGGGACTGTCTGGATGCTCTCCTCAGACGGGGAGCCTGTAAAGGAAAGACACCCACCCCTGCTGGAGGAAGGAGTTGGAGGTGAGGCTGAGACCCCGGAAAGCCCCGGGCAGCATTAGTAGATTCAGGCCGGAGCCCCGAGTCCTAACAGGAAATCGTCGGGCAGGAGGTGCCAAGGGTCATTCGCACCCGAGGTTTCCTCCCCTGCTCACCGGCCACCACTAGTGAGGGTGGAACATGGAGTCTTCCCGGAATGAGCCCCTCCACCCCGGGGGGTGCCCTGGCAGCACCTACTCAATGCCAGGACTCGGAGGAGAGTTTCTGAGCCCCAGGGGCCCCCAGAGACTGACGCAGTGACAGGGTGGCACCTTAACTTTTCCTGTTTCTCACTTCCTGTCACCGTCCAGTTCAGTGGCAGATCACTGTGATAAGCAGGTGTGGACGTGTTGTTCGCTCCGTGGGACGTGTGTGTCATGGTCACCGGGCCTCCCCTGGGCTGGGATGCAAGGGATGAACTCCCCGTGCAGGGCGCAGGGCGTGGATCTGGGTTTCTGTTGTCTTTCATGCTCCTGAGAATGTCACTTTGTGAGTGGCACTGGACCTTGCTGAGCGCATCACGGCTACAAGGAGTGAGGTGCCCGTGTGGCAGGGAGGTGACTCGTGGCTCTGGACAGCGGAGTCCTGAGCGCCCTCGCGCCCACCCTGAGCGCCCCTGTCCTCCACAGCTTTCTCCCAGATGGTGATCAGCTTCTACTATGGAGGCAAGCTGGTGGGCCAGGCCACCACCACCTGTCCCGAGGGCTGTCGCCTGGCCCTGGGCCCGCCGGGGCTGCCCAGTACCAAGCTGTATGGGCCCGAGGGCCTGGAGCTGGTCCGATTCCCGCCAGCCGACACCATCCCCAGCGAGCGGCAGAGGCAGGTGACACGGAAGCTGTTCGGGCACCTGGAGCGGGGCGTGCTCCTGCACAGCAGCCGCCAGGGTGTGTTCGTCAAGCGGCTGTGCCAGGGCCGCGTGTTCTACAGCGGCAACGCCGTGGTGTGCAAAGGCAAGCCCAACAAGCTGGAGCGCGACGAGGTGGTGCAGGTCTTCGACACCAGCCAGTTCTTCCAAGGTCGGTACCGGCTCCCTGGAGATCGCCCTGCCTTTGGGTCCAGGGATGGGGTGGAAGTGTGGGCTGGGCTCGCAGCCAGGGCCCCTGTGCTGTCTGTCAGCACTCTAGAGGCTCTCCGAGCCTCAAGGTCCCGTGGGGAGGGGAGCTGCCAGTCAGCATGTGGCTCTGGCACTGCACTGTGCCCTGGAGTGAGCTCGAGGTGCACCGAGCTGCATGCTGGGTGACATCGCGGACATCGTCCGTGCTGCCCACCAACATCCCTGCTCTGGGATGCGGGTGTCTGGGACCCCGCGGGGGTTTCCTCCAAGGCCGGAGTGTCCTTTCTCTGTGCCTGTGCTCTCTGCTGGCCCCGGACCATCCAAATCAGTGCCGCCTGAGGAGCGGTCAAATCTCCTGGGCTAGAGCTTGGCTCTGGGGCGGCCAGCTGCAGAGTGCAGGCGTGTGCACAGCTTTCCTGACCCCTGCCCGCTGCCGGCCCCACGCCGGCTGCCCGCAGCCCACCGCCTGGAGCCCACCCTCACTTCCGCCCTCTGTGTCCCCCCAGAGCTGCAGCAGTTCTATGGCAGCCAGAGCCGCCTGCCAGACAGCAGGGTGGTGCTGTGCTTCGGGGAGGAGTTCCCGGACATGGCACCCTTGCGCTCCAAGCTCATCCTGGTGCAGGTGAGAGAGCGGGCAGCCAGGTGCCCAGGGGCTGGCATAGAGTTTGCACTTGGGCTGAGATGAGGTGGTAGGGACTGCGGGGTCCCAGCTCGGGGCAGCAAAGACCTCCAGACGTGGGCAGGTGACCACTGTCCGCATCTCGGGATGTGGGTGTATCTAGCTTTATTAGGTTGCTTTTTAGAATCAAAGCCTCTCCTCCCAGAAAGATTCCCCAGTTCAGGTGCCCTCGTGTCTAAGAGACAGGGCAGGACTTGGTAAGCTCTTACCTAATATAAGAGAGGAATGGCACTCCGGTGGTGGAATTCTGGGCACAGAGCAGTCGCGTTGGGACGGTTCTGGGGCATGGGGTTGGCGATCTCTGCAGGGATGCCCCCACTCCCCTTCATTCCCTGGGCAGGCAGGTGGGTGCAGGGGCAGCGCAGCCCTGGCTGGAGCCCGGCCCACCTGCCACCTGACACCTTGCATCCCCCAGGTGGAGCAGCTGTACGTCAGGCAGCTGGTGGAAGACTCAGGGAAGAGCTGCGGAACTGGCTCCGTGCTGCCGGTGCCCGAGGAGCCCCAGCTGGACCCAGCCTTCCGGATGTTCTCTGAGATTTGTTCCTCACACCAGAGACCCTTTTTCAGAGAAAACCAGCAGATCACTGTCTAAGTGGTGTTGCTCCCCGCGCCCCCACCCCGCCCGTGGCTCAGTGGTCACAGTGACAGTGGCAGCATGGATGCTCTGGTTGGGTGGTGATGGCCACGTGGCCTGAGGAGCCTGCATTGGGTGCAGTCGGGCCCGAGTTCTGCTCGTGCAGGAGGTGGGAACTTCTGGGATGTGTCCTGGACCCTGTAATTACAACCCGAGATTAAAAACTGTATTTTCTGCATTTTTCTTTAATTATCCTTAGTTGCTATGATTCATTCTGCATTTGGGGTTAAGTGACATTTCTAAAGTTAAGGAATGTGGTGTGTGGAGTCAGCTTGGGAGGGCAGGCTTCTTTCTGTCCTCGGGTCTCGTTAGGGATGTGGGTTGATGGCTTCTTGTGTTCTCGTCTGTGTGGAGCAGAGAAGCTCTTACTTCTGAGCTCTCTGATGAGTTTTCTCGGTGTTTAGCTCCAGGCCTCCTGTTCAGGGGTGAAAGCTGAAACCCGGGTGTTCTCATGGGAGAGCTCCCTGCTTCCTGGAATTTGGTGCCAGGACAGGGCCTGTCCGCAGGCACGCACGCGCCTTTGGGTGTCTGGGTTTCAGATAAGGCAGACTTTTCCTTTGGGGTTTTAGTACCTGAAATCTGAGAGCTAAATGTATTATTTTTATTTTTGTAATTAAATAATTCCAGGTTCCTTTCCCTTTTCTTTCTGGATGGTTTTAAAAATTATTTGTACTTTTAATCGCCTGCTCTTACCTGTTCTACTGTAAACTGCTTTGAATCTCCCGCACTTTAAAGCCTGCCGGATGCAAACCTCGAGTCTCGAATGTGCCTGGGAGCTGTGGGAGCATTTTGCATATGTTCAGCTGATTCCGTCCTCTGCTGCTTGGCTGCCACCCTGTACCTGGGCCCTTGTCTGGGGCGGCCTGGGGGTGTGGCAGGGGCCGTCTGTCTACTCTTTGGGGCTTCCCAGCCCTACTCCAGCCAGTGGTGGCAGGGGAGAAGCCTGCCAGAGCTCCAGCTCTGCCCTGCTGGAGCTCAGCCTGCAGGTGGAATGCGTCTCCTACCTGGGACAGTGGGGTGGGCAGCTGATCGCAGGCCAGGAGCTGAAGGCTTGGAGGCTTGGCTTCATGCCTGGGCCGTTCACTGTCACCCCTGTGACCCTCCAGCTAATGCATCTCCAAAACCACTCCCAATATGTGCATTGTAAGAAAGTACTTGAACGTGCTGTCTAAAAACACCCTGTATTTTATCAGCTCAAGGCTGCTCCTTGATGTCTGTGTCCTGTGCGTCCAAGGGCTGCACGGGTGTTGGGGACCTGCTTGTTGCAGCTGTGAGACTTGGGGCCACTGTGGGAGTAGATGCCAAGTAGACCTGGGCTTGGGGAGGGTCCCCCTTCACTCTGTTCTGGGGCATAGGACCAGGGCCCCTTTGTGTGACCCTGCCTGGATCCCCGCACGATGCATCTAGAGTCGCACGGTGGGAGGTCAGGGGTCTGGGACTCGGGAGACCCCTGGCAGAGTCTTGACTCAAAATCTGAAGAGCCAGAGCTCGCTGGGGCAGCCCCCTGCCCCGAGGTGGGGAGCACGTCTGAGGGGCGACCGACATCTGTGGAGGTGTTTGTGAGCTGAGTGGACGGGCTGGGCTCCGCTCCAGTGTGAACGCATGTGTCTTTGATATGCAGAATGAATATTTATTTTTGTATTGTTTAAAAACTGTATTGATCTTATTCTTTATGGAAATAAAATGCTCTTTTATAAAGTTGACGTGTGATCTTTTTTTCCTTTTTTGGCCAAATATTCTGTAGTTTCCACCAGATCCTAGGCTCTTCAGAGGGAATTACAAGGGCTCCCGTGGCGCCAGTGTGAGGGTTTTGTTTGCTCGTCTCCAGAAGCTAGATGGTGAGGATGTCGGGACCCAGACTGGTGCCCCAGAGCCCTCTGCAGGTGGGGACAGGTGCCCTGCCATGCTGGACTCTGGGCTGTTTGGGTTTCTGTGAGTGGACGTGTCGGCCAAGGAGAGTGTGGGCAGTGCTGGCGCTGCCACCCTGGAAGCTGTGGGGATGGCTGGGTGGACAGCATGGGTGTGTCCTTCCCTGTGTGTGTGTCCACTCTACGCTGGGCACAGCTCTGCCCATCACAGAGACCCCTCAGTGTAGGTGGGTGGCCTTTGCGTCCTGTCGGGCGTTGTGGCAGCCCAGAGGCCAGGACAGCCACTGGCCGCGTGCCAGCTCTACGGTGGTCCACAGGGAATCGTTAGCTCCTGTGGGCAGCGGCTGGGGTCTCTTAAGAAAGCGCCTGTCTGCCCAGTGAGAAGTGGGGGTTCTGCGCACATTGTTAGGACCCTAGATGGGAGCTGACCTCAGAGACGATCCAGCGAGAGTTCACACCGGACCGTGAAGAGAAGGGCATGGCGGGGCGTCCCCAGAACCAGCCCCTTCCATGCTGTGCATGAGCGCCTCGGCAGGGAAGGCTCCCTGGGGTCCCCTTCTGAGGGGTCACTCCTTGCTTCACTGACTTTATTTTTGTGGTACTGGGACTGAAGGCAGAGCTTTCTCACTGAGCTCCACCTCAGCCCTTTTTCGACTTTTAATTTTCAGACACGTTCTTGCTAAGCTGCTAAGTGGCGGTGGCTGGGCTCGATCTCACAATCCTCCCGCCTCAGCCTCCCAGAGCGCTGGACTTTCCGGCTCTGCACAACCCACAGCTATAGTGAGTTCACTAACCTTTGCAAAATCCATCTGCGGTGCAAAGCTTGTGTTTCTTTCCCCTTGTGATGTCTGTGTGGCTGCGGATACCGAGCCCTGTGACAAACATTACAGGCCCTCTTCAGCCCTTGGAGTCCAGGTTGAGTCCTCAAGTCAGGGGCCACCTGCAGGCCCTCGATGTGTGCCGTGGGGACTCTACACCGAGCAGCAGCCCTGGGCTCAGGGAGGGATGACTTGGGCCATGATTCAGGCTCTCTGTCATGGAAAGTTTGCAAGCTGATTACTCAGGACTTGAAGTCCTTTCTAAGGAACGTTCACTGGCCCACCGTGAAAGTGGCCGTCACGGGGGACAGCAGGGCAGCCCAGCGTTTCTGACCTGGGCTGGTCCTCCGGTGACCTGGGTGTCCAGGGACAAGGGCTGCCTCTTGGCTCCGGCCCACAGGTCAGAGTCCAGAGCCGACCTGGGTCACACGACCCCCAGTCAGCGGGGCAGGAGGCTCCACTCTGCTGGCAGCCCTGTGGTCACCACGGGGACAGGGCACGGTGGCACAGGCTCTTCTCTACTCCAGGGTCTGGCTCTGCGGGGAAGCTGAGGGTGGTTTGAGGGTACTTTGCAGTGGTCAGGCCGCCCAGCATGCAGCGGTGCAAACCTGGCTGGTTTTATTAACTTTCCATTACATCTTCTGCCTTTTCCCTGAGCATCCCGGATCCATTCTGTCCTGGGTCCTCTCCCATTTCAGGGGTGACAGTAGTCTGCTCCCTACTCCAGAAACGCCTTTCCTGGGGTGCACTCCCCCATGGCTCTGTGTGCCCTGTGTCCTGGCGCCCGTCCTTCCCCACCAGGGCTGCGGGTAGGTGGCAGGGGTTTTGGCGAGGGCCCTGGCAGAGGTTCGCCTCTGCCTTTCTCCCTTTGCTCCCTGCCCCGTGGGGTGTGGCTGGGCCGCCCTGCACCCCGTCAAGCGTGATAGTGCTGACACTTTGTCAGTGACGTCAGGAAGTGACTGGGGAGCAGGCTGTGGGTTTTAGTTTAGGTGGGGTCAGAACTTCCTGTGTCTCTTGTGAGGGAAAGTGGCCCCCGTTTACGGAATGAAAGCTCCCTGCCTCAGTTTCTCCCTGTAGCTCTGAATGAGACGAGTGTTAGCACCTCAGTGATTGAGAGTGGGTGTGGGGATGGTGGCAGCTCGCTGGCCTGTCCAGCAGTGTCCAGCAGCAAAGCCAGTGGCCAGGACACAGACACCCAGCTAAGGGCAGGGGAGGAGCAAGGTCAGCTGCGTCCCCATGGCGGCTGGAGAGGCCCTCGTGAGTCTCTGGGGGACAGGAGGTCCCAGCCCTGCAGGGCTGGCCCAAGGGGCTCCTTCAGCCACAGTTGGTGGGGCGGGCAGACCCAGGCCACCTGTGTGGCCTCCTAGGCTGGTGTGTGGGCACTGGCCACCCAGAGCCCTGAGCCACTGCAGGGAGTCGGGAATGACCTGGACTCAGGAGGTGTCGGAGAAGCACAGGGACTGGGCCACCAGGGCCTGTGTCCACTCAGCGCCGGGCTCCGTGGGGCCAGGAGAGCTTCGCAGAGGATGCAATGGATGCAGCTCCCGGTGAGGTGAGCATGGCTCACTCGCTCAGCACATGGGCTGGGAACGGTGCCTGCCATGGAGCAAACGTTAGGCCTGTGTGCGTTCACACACATCTCACACGTGTGTGAGGCTCAGAGTGCGTCAGGAACTGTCACATCACAATCACACAGTGACAAGTTGTCGAAGTGGGCATGTGTCTGTCCAAACCTGAGATGCCGACGACGGTCTTGGTGTTAATCGAAGATTATGCTCTTGTTAAATAGCTGCCCGCAGGCTCTCTGAGGGGCCAGCTGCTGTCCAGGGCCACAGCCTGCCTCAGTAGTGCTGTGATTCCAGCTGCTGCCCAGCGCAGGGCTCACGGTGGCACTGGCCTGTTGAGCGGGTGGTGGGTGAGTGGGGTGGCAGGCTGAGCCCTGGTGGTGACGACCCCAGGCAGCAGGAGCAGCCTGGGTGCTGCTGCCCGGCATGGCCGGTGGCAGGTGGTGGTCTCAGGCATAAGTTCAGCTCCTGCCTTCTCCTCCTGTCCCAAGGGGTGACCTGTGGGGCCAGGGAGGAAGGGAGGCTGAGGCTGGAGCGGGGTGAGGTCTGTGGGGTGGGTGGAGCTGGGGCCGGGCAGAGCCGCAGTGGCTGACCTGGGCTCGGTACACAGGACCACACCCTTTGTCAAGGACCTGCTCCCCCATCCTGCAGAGGCCAGGCACGGTCTCTTCCTGCCAGACCTTTCAGGGGAAAATCACAGAGCCTGTTGCGGCCCCAGCTGTCGCCTTCCTGCCTGTGGCACCTGCCAGGCCACCCTGACCCCTCCAGCGCCAGGCTGAGGGAGGTGTTGAGCAATCCCGGCCAGTTAGGAGGCCTGAGCCCAGAAATAAAGCGACTGTTGCACGTTTGCCCCGTGTCCCACTAGGGCAGAGGGCGGCGGGGAGGAAGCAGATGGCCCCGGCCACCACGCATTACGGAGCAGCTCAACTGCACGGCTGCTGGGTGTTGCACCACCGAGCTGACCCAGGCAGCACCCTGGTGCGGAGCCTCAGGCAGCAGGGGCAGGAGGTGGGCAGATAGGGGAAGGGGTGCGGGGGCAGTGGGGGGCTGAGCCAGGCTTCTCACCCTGGCCAGGCGGTGTGGCCCACCATCCTCTAGCTCCCTGCTGGCCAGCTGTGAGGCCGGAGGGGCATCCCCTCCCTGCATTGTAGTATCTATGGCTACCGAGTGTCCACTGCTCCTCCGTCACCCGGACGCTTCAGGCAGCAGTCCCCTGTCCCAGTGTGGTTGTGAGGGCTGGAGGAGATGGCCCTGGGGAGGGTCCGTGATTGCGATTGGGATGGGTTGATGACACCCTTCCGAGGAGTCATGAGGGAACCCCAAAGCCCCGTGGTGGGGTGCTGTCTCTGTGTGCCCTCACCCTGCTGCTGCTGGCCTGGGTATCTCCAGTGTCTTGGGGGCACCCTTGGCTCCAAGCCAGACATTGGTGCAGTGACGCAGTGCCATGGAGAAGCGGGTGACATGGGGACCTGGGCCTCAGAGATCTCCCGTCTGGACTGACCAGCTGTCCTTCAGGTCACTTGTGCATCTTCATGCATCTGCTCTGTGCACCAGGGTGCTTCAGTGGGCTTTGCTTGTGGGCAGGTGATGATGGGGTGGCTGTGGGAGTTCGGGGTCACCTTGGGGAGGAAGAGACTGCAAAGGGCCCCAGTTGGTTCTGCAGGGCATCATCTCCCTGTCCGCATGTGCCTCTCTGTCTGCAAGACTGAGCTCCCTGAGCATTGTGCCCTGCCCAGGGCCAGCAGGAGGTCAGCGCGAGGACAGAGGGCAGGGCTCACTCCCCTGTCTCTGGGCTGGCTGAGTCTGCCCCGGGCAGGGTTTCCTCTCCCTGTCCCTTTGGGCTCTGTGGACAGCATCGCTGCTGCTTGTCCTGGTCCCTGTGCCATCTCCTTTGGCTCCCTACAGGCCACCTGGCCCTTTTGTGGCAAGGATGGAGTGGGGCGGTCACAGCAGAGACGCAGCACCTGCAGTGCTCTGGGCCTCTGCTGGCCTTGCTCAGGGAGCCTGCTGCCCTGGGAGGCCGCTTGCCCAGGGGACCGTCTCTTTGTGGGTCTCACGGGTCAGCTGATACCTGCAAGGACAGTGTTCTCACCCTTTCCATTTCCACAGGGGAAACTGAGGCCTGCTGAGACTGGTGACACGCTCAGCCAGGGCCAGGGTTAGGTCCTAGCTTGGAGACACCTGCACTTCCTCTCAGGCCCCAAGCGTGATCTGAGCCCCAGCTCTGCGCCTTGGAGCCTCTGCCTGGCATCTGTGTCCACACTTGGGACCGCAGTCAAGGGAGCTGGGCCTGCAGGCGGTGTGCGGGTTGGCAGGGCAGCCCTGTCCTCCCCCTCTGCCTCTGCGCCATTCCCTGGATGGCATGGCTAGCTGATGTACACGGGCATCAGTGGTACTCCCTGGACTTCCTCTCTGGCCCCAAGTGTGACCCAGACGCCGGCTCTGGG